GTCCCAGACCAACAATGATTGCCAAGTGCACAGGCTGTGGGGTCACTTTGGGACCACAGACCAAAAGTACAGACTGAATGACTCCTTGGGGGTGCTGGTTATTTAGGGGGTGGGGAGGCAAAATGAGGCGCTTGCACTCAGAGCTCCACACATTACAATATTCTCTCACCCCTCCCCTTTCCTGGACTCCTCCTCTATTTGCATTGGCTGTGACCACTTCTTCCTGCCAAAGACTCAGGACAGGTGGGAGGTTTAATTTATTTGAGGGAGGCCTGTATGCTATATAGGTACCAAGAATCATCAAATACATTGAGTTAACTAAACAAAAATAAAATGCCCAGGACTGGGTAACTGGTCTATGCAAAATTTGCAAGCCCTGATGGACCCTGACCGTTTGGATCAACCAAAGGCAAAGCCAGGGCAATATTCATACAACTCACAGACCTTAGTAACCTTGAGGCAGGAGGGTCAGGTGAAAAGTGTGGTCTCCAGCCTGGCTTAGAGACCTGGTTCTTACACCAGCTGTTACTCAACCTCTCTGAACTTCAGATTCACCCTCCATAAACAGAAGAAATCACCACTATTTGTCTTGACAGGGTTGTTGTGAAGAGTAAATGAAATAACATATTTGAAAGTTCCTGATGCATAAGGAACTTGTGATTCTTGTTGAAAATTGCATTAGAAATAAAGTGAAAAGTGATTCCTGTCATCACATGTCAATACCTCTGGAAAGACAGTCCATCAAAGGTCCTTGGGCACCTCCAGCAGAATCAGGAGCTATTTAGACAGGAGAAAGGGAGGTAGAATGAGGACTAAGGGTTCAGGGACTGACTTGCCTTTTGGTTTCTCAGTTTAAGTGCAGATGGAGGAAGCATGGTTCTGACATTTTAAAAACTGTCCCCTAGGCCCTGACCAGGTAGATCAGTTGGCAAGAGGATCTTTCTGATATGCCAAGGTTGTGAGTTCGATCCCCAGTCAGGACACACACAAGGAGCAACCAATGAATGCATAAATAAGTGGAACAACAAATCGATGCTTCTCTGTTTCTCTCTTCTCTCTCTCTCTCTCTCTCTCTCTCTCTCTCTCTCTCTCTCTCTCATCTCTATTCCCCACTCCCTCTCAAAATCAATTTTTAAAATGTCCCCTTTTCTGATAAATGTACCCAACTCTAGTTTCCTCCTTTCTCCCTTCACCCCTTTCTACTTCCCTCCCCTGTTTCTTCCCATAGTCATGGTATCTCAATTAGTCCTTTTGAATTTCAATTTCATCATCTGAAAAGCTTATAATTAGAGTAATTTATAGGGTTGTGATAAGGATTAAATGAGATAAACATATTCAATACATTAGTCCTATTTTCCTTAAGTCATCTCATCTTTTCCTCTTCCCTGTGGACTTCCAATTCTCCCTGCTTCTCCTTCCTCCCGTTCTCCATAGAGACTAAAGATGAGGCTGGATCAGGCCCAGACCTGTGGAATGGGTGTGGGAAATGTGCAGTTCCTTGATTCATTTCTCCCTCTTTGGACACCACCCCTTGAAGATGACTGTTGTGATGATTGGCTCTGAACATCTTTTGGCTGATAATACCCCACCACTGGCCTCTATGAGTGAATAGCTCTTGAATTACTTAGTTTAAGGAACTCCTCATTGGGTGTGTGATCACACTTTGGATCCTAGAGCAAATAAATTCAATACTGTAAGCTGATTCCCTTTGCGGCCATGCCTAAACTCAACAACATTAAAAATGTACCAGCCTGAGCTGAGGGCTCCTTGTGCAGGTCATAGAGTGGACTCACTGTTCATCTAGCTCTTTGTTCGAGCTTAGAGATCTGGCTTCTCCTGAGGACTGCCTGGGAGTCAGGGCCCCGCATAGTCTAGCATTCTTCAGGAAAGCCACTCCTGGGCCAGAGCTAGGCTGGCTGCCTTTAGGCAGAAGCCATCCCTCCCCCTGCAATGCTGCCTCCCTTAACACTTCCATTTGGATGGATCGCTTGGCCCATTTGTTTATATGGCAACTATTGACTATGTTGCCTGCTGGGGGCACGGGGCTTTGGTAATAAAGTTCCAGACCCCTTCCTCTATTCCCACCAACTCTGAAGGGTTACCCCAGCTTCAAAGCTCTCATGGGCCTGCTGAGCGCTTTGCTCTGACTGTATTACAGCCCACCCTCTGCTTTGCCTAGTGCTGTGTCTTTCACTTCCCCCACAGGTGCTGCCCCTGAGCCCTCCTTATTAACTTCCTTCATGTCAATCTCATCCCAGAGTCTGCTTCTGAGCCTGACCTACAGCATGGAGCAGCCTGGAACGTGGACTGAGACATACCTGTGGTAAAATCCTGGCTCTAGCATGTAGTGGTTGAGTGACTTTGAGCAAGTTATCTAACCTCTCTAAGTCTCACCTTTCATCTGGGGAAAAATATTATTGTGAGGATTAAATGGGTCTCTATATAGTGTGTAACTACCTGGGCCACTGAAGCAGCTCAGCCAATGGTAGTTATGCAGCAATAGAAACCAAAACACTGCCTCCTGGGGTCGTTGTGAACATTGAATCAGATAATGCATGCCAATTGATTGACATAGTCCTTGGTAAATATTACTGCATTTGCAGAAAAGGATGCGCTAATTATATGGGGAGATAAAACCTGGGTACAAATAACCCCAATACTACACAGGCATCACGTGCCAGGCTCTTGTCACATGTCAAGCTCTCTATACGATCATAAAATCTCTGAGTAGAAAAGAATCCTGGAATTCTCCTAGCTCAACCTTCTACCCAGTGAGGACATTCCTTCTTGAATGTTTGTTTATTCCAACAATTATTTATTAACCCTGCTCTGTGCCAGGAAGTGTAGTGAATGGAAATGCTGACAGATGATTACGATGCCGTCCAGTGTGGGGGCAAACACAGGGATGGTTTCTGCACAGCGTAATGTCTTCAGAGGAGAGGGACACATTTTCCCCGCATTGAATGGGGTGAGTTATTTCACTGTCGGCCACCTCTGGTATGTATTCTCTGTGTACCGACTTGTATTTTGAGTGGCAGTCCTTGGGTTCTTTTCCTTCTTGCTCCATATCCTGCAGCCAGCTGTCTGCACATCCACTTACCCATCTCTGATCAAGCTGACCCTGGTCCCGGAAGGTGGGCTTCACCTGGCACTTGAACCCCAGCCTGCAGGCGCTTTGAGGGCAGCAGCTGGATCTTATTCATCACCAGGGCCCCAGCTCCTAGAGCAACAAAAAGAAGAAAAAGAAAACAACAATCCAAAAACGCATCCCATTATGTGTGGGTTCAAAAAAAAAATGACAAAGATGCCTTTAATTCAAGTTTGTTATAAACAATGGCAGCAGAGAAAATGACCAGCATAAGCTTCCTCAAGCTTCACACGCAACCCTGCGTTTTTAATAGGCTGGGTTTTTAATAAGTGGGTGAAACCAGTTTTTGAAAACCCCAGAAGAGTTCACTTTGAGTTCACTACAGCCAAGTAGTTCAGGAGCCAATTGATGGTTCCCACACATCGCCGTTTTATGGCTTCTGAAGATTACCTTTAGAGATGTTTCATATACCATGAGCTTCACACAGAGGTAGGGGGGAGAGTGTTATTTTAAATGGTAAACCTAAGTTCTGTATCACATTTGAGAAAGCTCTTGACTTCTACTCTTGAGAAACAGAAGGACAGGATGACCCACCAGAGAGAGCACCAGCCTCGTGAATGGGGCCCCTTTCTCCCAGCCCCACTCTCCTGCTGAGGAGCAAGGCCCATTCCCCACAGGTATTGGGGGGCAGGAGCAATTTGCACGGAGAGACTGAAGTTTGTTTCATTGCCTTATGTTTGCCTTTAACCATAAGTCAGATCCTTCCTCCTCATTCTCTTCCTCCTTGTTTGAAAATGTTATCACTTATTCATCTGTATTGTTTCTCTGCATGACTGCAATTGTAGTTCATATAAAACACAGCTAAGGAATCTTTTATTTAGCAATTTATCGTATTTGTGTTGCTACAAGATAGTCATACAATGGGAAAGGGGAGAGACTCTGTTTAATCAGCTGTAAGGAGAGGGCTATACAAATTCACCTAGACTTTCCTCTGGAGGAAAATACAGGAAGTAAGAAGAAAAAGAAACATTGATGGGGAAAGGCAGAGCTTTGCAATTGGCAGAGGGAGGAATGGTTCCAGGAACTTCAGAGACAACGGGGACCTCTCCTGGGGGAGTTGGGGAGGATTTGTCTACTCTTGGGACAGAGGGATAAACTCTTTGACTAAGATACTCACCCAAGGGAAAGAGTATGTGTGTGATGAATGGTAGGAATAAAATAGTTTTCAGGGATAAGATCTGCTTACATTTTTCAGTAATTTAAATAAATCAGCCCAGCCAGTGTGGTTCAGTGTTTGAGCATCGACCTGTGAAACAAGAGGTCAGGGCACATGCCCAGGTTGCTGGCTAAATCACCAGTAGGGAGCGTGCAGGAGGCAGCCGATCTATGTTCCTCTCTGATCGATGTTTCTATCTCTCTATTCCTCTCTTTTCCTCTTGCTCTAAAAAAAAAATCAATAAAAAACATACTTTAAAAAAAATCAAAATAGATCCTAGAGTTTCTTTACTGACTGGCTGCATTTTTGTTACATTCAAAACACTTCCTCCCCCCAGTGGGGGTGGATGGACATAGTTTCTCATTATTGAACAGTTGATGTGTTTTTTTTTTTGCTCTTTTCACTGACTTAGTTAAAATCAACCACCTAACTTTGATTTTTTACTCATCCTTCTTAAAAAAAAAAGGCACTATCATGCCCTTACATAATGTTAGCATTTGGAGAAATGCCTGAACAATGTCTAACTTCTCACAGTGAGTAATTCATTCCTTATGTAAATGTGCTAGCGACAGATGTGTGTGAATCTTCTTTGTCCAGGCCAACGGCTTGGAGGTGAAGCCCTGGGTAGGGCAGAGCCAACATTTCTCTGGGCAGGAACACGGCTCAAGGGGCTGTGGCATGTGAGCATTTGCAACAGCATCACACCCTCCTCCCAGCAGCCTGCCAGGGGAGTCGGGAAGCAGGCAGGATGCTCACACACTGCTGCATCACAGAGGTGACTTAGAAAGCTCTTTCTCTGTGCCCAGCAATGGGCTAAGCACTTTTCATCCATCTTCTCGTTCTTCACAACACAACAGTAACTGGTAATAAATGAATAATTCTCCAGGGTCACATTGTTCTGGGACTGTGTAAGCAAACAAGGACACTTTGATGAGCTGATGGATCAGAGAGTCAACTTGACCCCGAGTTCCTTGAGAATAGGTTCTTCAGCTGATTCAATTTTATCTCTGCAGAGCGATACACTAGAAAACTAAATAGACAGCTTCTGGACCGTGGCTCAACGGGCCTCAAGGTTGAAGGGAACAAGAGAGATTGGGTTACTGATAGAGCAAGGGAAATTACAAGGCTCAAAATCACCCTTAAACGGTTGTGGCCATCAGGCTGCTGCTGACAGCATGACAACATCCGGTATGGGGACAGAGGAGCTGACATCTAAGGGACCTAGGATATTCAGATGCCCTTGAGACCTCCCAGTTTGGTAAGGCCTCCACATAGTGGCTCATCTGGCCTGAGCCCTTCTACGTGCAATGTTCCCCCAGGCAGCTTAGGAGAGCAGCCGGAGAGCCTTCAGTTGCTCTTCCGAAGCCTTTGGACCCCTCGCTGAGTGTCTCTGCAAAAGCTTACTGCTGGGCTCTTCCTGTCCCCAGCCTCCAACACAGGTCCCTCCATCACGTCCCAAGCTGGTACGGCTCGGGTACCGCTGTAAGCCCCGACTGGCGGTCTCAGGAAGAACACCAGGCCTTCCCGGTGTGCAAACACATCTTCTTTTGCTCTAAAGGGGGGATAATTGTAGATAAAAAGAATGGCCAGTGCTGCAAGCTTCAAGTGAAGCTGTTTTTTTCTCATGACTATAGATCAGCAGTTCTCAACCTGTGGGTCGAGATCCCTTTGGCGGTCAAACGACCCTTTCACAGGGGTCACCTAAGACCATCCTGCATATCAGATATTTACATTACGATTCATAACAGTAGCAACATTACAGTTATGAAGTAGCAACGAAATAATTTTATGGGTGGGTCACAACATGAGGAACTGTATTTAAAGGGCCAGAAGATTGAGAACCACTGCTATAGATGGACTTGACAAACTTCCAAGGAAGCAGCCACTTTAGCTCCAATCTCCTCGCTGACTTGAATCCCCTTCCCGGGGTGTCATGCCAACAGCCGGACATCATGTCCTATGAGTTTAAGCTAGTGTCTGCGATGCCCAGTGACCATCTGCACACTGTTGTGCACATTGGTCACTCCTCTTTTGCTGATCTGGATGAAGTTGCTCTCAAACATGGGAATGCACTTGAACATGGCAAACTCGCCCTTGCACAGTTGCCGCTGAGCTTTCCCTGGAACCACGGAACGTGTGCAGCACGTGGCTGCCCTTGGTGCTGCCCTGCGATACCACCTTGTTGCTGCCCATCTCTTTCTTTTTTTTTAAAATATGTTTTTATTGATTTCAGAGAGAGGGATAAAATATCAATGATGAGAGAGAATCTTTGATCAGCTGCCTCCTGCACACCCACACTAGGGATCAAGCCTGCAATCTGAGCATGTGCCCTTGCTGGAATCAAACCTGGGACCCTCCAGTTTGCAGGCTGAGCCAAACCAGCTAGGGCTTTCCTATAACATTTTAAAAGAGACAAAGCAGCCCTTTCTTGTTTCACTGTCCCCAGCTTTAAATGTTTTGTTTGCTTGCTTATTTGTGTGAGTTGTTTGTGTGTGTGTGTTTTTACTGATTTTAGAGAGAAAGGAAGGGAGAGGGAGAGATTGAAACATGGATGAGAGAGAAATATCAATAGGCTGCCTCCTGCACGCCCCTCTCTGGGAACTGACACCCCAAGCTGGGCATGTGCTCTGACTGGGAATAGAACTGGCAACCTCTCGGTGCATGGGTCGACTCTCAACCATTGGGCCACATCAGCTGGACCAGCACGACTCTTTTAATGTTTGAACCAGAGTGATCCATTAAGTGGGTCAAGTCAGGACACATAAAATAGGTAGACCCCTTATTATTTCTTAATCATCAAAATCATCTTTCAGTTCATCTGATTAGTATGGGTTCTTCATTGTAAAAATAATCCCTTATTATTAAAAAATTATTATGCAGTCTTCAGGATAGCAGGCAGTTTTATATTATACTCACGTCTGCAAAGGCAAAATGTGTTGTCAGCATCTGCTTTGGATGTAGGTATTACAGATCGGATGAGCTCATCCACAGATGGCACCAGGCAGGGCCGAGGACAGCAGGCAGGGCCTCTTGGAGGCTGAACCTAGTCAGTCTAGTACAGGCCCTAGGGGTCAACCATGTGTTCCAACATTTCTACCTTGCCAATACCCAATTCTACCTTGTCAATACCCAGGATCAATTCGTCTTTGGACACTAATTTGTAATGCCTTAATTCATTAGAGGCTGGAGAATAAAGAAAAATGACTATTTTCAGCAGCTAAAATGTAAATACTCTGTCTAGCTCACTCTTTCTAAGTAATAGTATTGTTAGGAAGCTGAGTCTGTTGTAAGGCTGTGAACTCAGCAAGGAAGAAGCCTGGAGGGAAAAAAGCGCTCTATTTGAGAGACCGGAAATGTTCATGCTTTCCTTCCTAAATGGTGCTGGAAACAGGTTGAGGTCCTGTTCCCACAGCCTCATTTTTCTAGAGTCTAGGGCCAAACCCTCACCTATTTCTTCAGTATGTTGACACCACTGATGAGGCGCTAGATTCCTTCATTTTCATTCATGACCTCAACTCCCAGACTGTACCTTAACCTTGAACCTTCCCAGCTCTAATCTAGAAACATCCTGCAATCCAAGGATGGCCAATTTCATCCAAGATGTGTGGATATTATTACCAACAACAGCTACACCAACAATAATTAACATTCACTGAGCACTTACCATGTGACAAGCATGGCACTACATGCTTTATCTTCATTAACTTAACTTATTGAATTCTTATAACCCTCTGAAGTAGGTGCTAATAATTAGCCCCATTTTACAGATGGAGAAACAAAGGCTTTGGGTGGTAACTTGCCCAAGTTAGTAAGTTGCCCACTTCGCCACACAGTTAGTAACAGGCAAAGCCAGGATTCAGGCCTAAGTGCTTTTGACTCCAGAGCCTGGGTCTTGAGCATTAGGCGATACTGCCTCCAGGAGAAACCTCCAGGAGCCCACCTCCTGAGAGCATCTCACTGTGGACTCAACACAAAAAATAATGACAAGTGGTTGTCAGCACCCTGTTGAAATTTAAGCTTAAAAATACAGTTGACCTAAGCAGTTGAGAAGCCATATATAACTTTTGACTCCCCAAAACTTAAGTTGTCCCTTGGTATCCGGAGGAGATTGGTCCCAAAATTCCCTGCGAATACTAAAATCTGTGGAGGTTCAAGTCCCCTATATAAAACGGTGTAGACAATGCATACATTCAACCCTCCACATCCTCAGATTCCTGACTGCAGACCATACACAGTACAGGTATTTATTGAAAAAAAAGCGTTGTTCAAGGATCAACTGTAATTAGTTTGGACGTAATTGTTAGAAATCAAGCCATTATGGGGGGGGGGGGGCGGGCAGGGGGGACATCTACAAAAAGAGATAATGTGAAATCTGAGAACCCATTTGTGACAGTCAAGGAGCCCACATTGTATTGCTCATCGTGTAACTCTAAAACCTGCCTATTGTGTGGTGAGCTTGAGGGAAATGCTGAATGGGACAGTCACACATAAGACCCTGACCTCACTGGAAAGGCAGCCAAGAACTACTGCCACCTCCCCCCAGAGCGGGGCCCTACCAAAGGCCACAGAGAAGACAGCGCCCCCTGCAGAGACTGTTATTTCTGATGCTATGGGAGTGTCCTAATGAATAAACAAATAATTGAGTGTTTCTATCATGTCCCTTGTGATTCAGATCAGTGAAGCTATATGCCTTCGGTGCTTATTTATGAAGGACGAATCACAAACACTTCATATCCCAAATAGCTTTCAGAAAAACAACACTGAAACGCAGTTCTAAGCCTATTTCACCGATCTAACCTTCTCTCTGTTTCCCCACATAGAATTCAAAATTAGGAAGGGGGAGGGGGAAGGTGGGGAGGGCCCAAAGCCAATGTAAGTGGAAACTGCTTGAGTGGATCAAGAAATGGAAAAAAATAAAAATCGCAGATAATCCCCAAACCTCATTTCAACCATTAGAATTCTCCCCCTTCAGACATTTCACACAATGGCCAATGAGTTGTCAACAATTACTTTATTGAGCATTGCAAGGTGCACAGCATTGTACATAGCTTGAAAATGTCAAATTGGCTTTTGTCACACCCTCTCTAAAGGCGGCATGGATTTCCATGGTTCTGTGGTCTTTCCTCCCGCGCCCCAGGGACCGGCTGCTAGTACCTTTGCTGTAGCACTTACCATGCAGTTTACCAGGTGGTCTCCCTACTAGATTTTTTAACTCCTCAAAGATGTGATCCATGTAGTGTTTATCTCTGCAACCTTGATGTTCAAATACATATTGGATAGATGAATGAATGATTGAATGAATGACCAGCGCTTCACTCTAATTCCTCCTCCAAACTCCCTGGTCTGCATCTAAGTCAATGGTTCCCAAACTTATTTGGCCTACCGCCCCCTTTCCAGAAAAGGAGTGTCCACAAGTGTGGCTAGTCCACACGCTAGAAAATCAGCTCCCTCATCATGAATAGGTGGCTGACTTCCCCAAGGGCCTGAGGACGTAACAGAGCCACGGAAAAATCTCCAAGCCAGAGATGGGGTTAATCAACCCGAACTCCCACCTCAAAACCCAAAGTAGCTGGTTGGGAGCAGACCAGCAGTCCAGCTACGTGCTGGGTCCCTGTGCCCGTGAGCCAGAGGCACATCATCACTAGTGGTCCAGGGCAGAGTCTCAGCCACCCAAACGTAAGAATATTTTTGCTTTATTATCCCTTCACAAATTTCAAAAGAAGCCATGCAAGAATAAATAAATACAACATTAAACAAGCCATGAAACAGAAGACACTTCCAAATGGCCCTCAAGAAGCAGTGTGGATGCCCTGCTCCTTGCATGGTGCCAAGGGGCTCAAGCTGCCATGGTTGCCCTCTTTGGGCCTTTCAGTTTGCAGATATGTACTATGAAGGAACACAGAGCCGGTGGGAGGCGGTAAGCATGATGCTGTGCATGGATGGCCAATAGTGTCACCACATAGGCATGTCCAACTGATAAGTCTGTTTGATGGATGATGAGAAAACTCTGCCATAGTCCAGGGAGGCAGCTCAATAGTACCACACACACCACATATCTGACATCCCAGCTGTGATGGGACGTGTGCAAAAGATCGTGGTTCCTGATACGCCATCAGGTAGCAGTGAAACTGAAGGCAAGCCTGTTACCTCCCTGTGCCTCAGGCTCCTCGTCAAATGAAGGTTTGGCCAGACTATCTCTCTGGTCACATCTAAGATTCCCTTTCTTTCATCCGGCAGGATTCTTGACCCATTAGTTGCCTCACCCTTCCCTGTACCTTCACACTGCTGAGATGAACAGCAGCACAATCACGGGTGTTAATGCTCACAAACAGAAGTGTTGGTGAAATACTGCTTAAGAGTCTTAAATTGAGTTCATAGCTCCCTATCATGGACCAGTCGGGGTCACACTCCCCAACCTTGCATCACGAATTGATCAGGATGCCAGCTGGCTGGCTGCTCTTCTACTTTGGGTCCAATTCAATGATTTTTCTGCAAAATGTAACTCACTACACTCACGTTTCTCATCCACCAACCCGATACAAATAGTTGGCCCATCCTTTCCTCCTTGTTGTCTTTCTGGACCCCAGGTTTCTGCATCTGACTTTCAGATGAACGGTGGCCTGTGCCCCCAAGACCAGTATTTTACACTTGATTTATTTTTTTTTATTTTTTATTTTTTTTTTTACCTCACAGCAACTCTTTAGAACACTTAGGAAAATCCGGACCATTCATTCTCAGCTGTGGAAGGCAGAGCAAAGTTTGGGAGATTCTGCTTCCTCTTCTTACCATTTTCAGTGCAATATTCAAAATGACAAGTGTCTGATCAAAACACTGGGGATTAGCTCTCAGATCCATTTGCATTATGGAAGAGTGATGTTTTCTAGCTTCAAACACACTATAAAAATAATTGTCTAAGAGAGAATTCTTAATCAAGTTTATACATATGTAAACTTTCCAGACGGCTAGCTCTTTGTTCGGTAGCTCTTTTCTATACATTTATACCAAAACAATCATTTAAGGACAGAAGTCAATGTGTTTTACTGTGTTGGGTATTTGCTTGATGTATAAGAAAGACTGATCTAGTATGTTGCAGAATTTGAATTTTCATAGTAGCTTAACATGTAGGTCTTTGAGCTCAATCTTGTCAGCCAGATATTGAATATATTTCAAATTAGTCCAAGCTTGGCTAGGGATGTCCTGGGACCTACAGCACTTACTCAGAGCTGGGCTCTGACCCTGGTGCCCTCTTCTTTATACCCAAGAAGACTGTCCTACACTGTTCAAGGGGCAAATCATCTTTGCCCTTGCATTCAAAGTTTGTTATGCCCCTTTTGGCATAAAATGTTTATCATTACATAAAAGAAAAATTCAGCAAAATTCAACTCTGGAGAAAAAAAAATCTTAAAGGTCCTTGGAAGCCACAGAAAGCTAAGGGATATAGCAGACTCTATACCCTAAGAAAGCTATTTCACCAGGGAAGCATGTCCGCACATCACCAAGGTCGGCTGAGTAGTGGAGAAAGAGAAGCGCAAGACACATTGGCCCAGAATATTTATACCAGTTTTGCCTTGAGTCTCAGAGAGTAATAGGAGGAACAAGACTTCTTTCTCATCGTCTCAGAAACCCTTGGGTTTAAAGTTGTCCTCTTTCTAATTTTCCCCTCTTGTAGAATTTTAATGAACACCAGAATGTCTCAGCTGGTCATCTGTATCAGAGTAAATAACTAAAGGTTATGGTTTAGAAGTTTGCTCATTTCATATCAGATGACCTACACGTAGTCCTACCCTGAACATTTCTCTAGGGTCAAGTCTAAAGTGCACCATTTCCTTTGCAAAAGCATACAGACATCCCCATGAAAGGCCAAAATTAGTGATAGTTGAGAATGAACAAAGACCCATTGTACAAAGTATTCCAGCCTTCTCTATTTAAAAAAAAAAAAATCAAATTTACTGTGACTGGCCAATATTCGTTTTTTGAGTTCTATAACTCCCCAGAATTT